ATCTATCTATCTATCTATCTATCTATCTATCTATCTATCTATCTATCATCTATCAGTCATGATCTGAATGCAGTATTGCAGCTAATTTAGCTCATTGCCAGGAGTTTAATGGCTCAAGGTTGACTCAGCCTTCCATCCTTCCAAGGTAGGTAAAATGAGGACCCAGATTGTTGGGGGCAAGAGGCTGACTCTGTAAACTGCTTAGAGAGGGCTAGAAAGTGGTATATAAGTCTAAGTTATATCTGAACTTAATCTAAGCTATTAAGGGGATAGATGAGATGGGTGCAGATTGTTTTCAATTTTCTCATGGAAGTAAGGGCCAGTTACAAATGATATTTTTGTAGATGCATGAAAGCATTTAATGCTTGTGGTTTGAACATTGTAAATGACTTTCTGTGCAAACTGTCTTTCCTCTCAAAATTACCAATAGATAGCAATTGTACTTTAATCTTTAAAATCTTCAGAATGAATGCATGTTCCTGTCCATTGTTTCTGAAACAGTCTGGAAAATTACCAAAAGATACATTTGTTTGTCTATGTGCATAACTATAGAATCAGCATAAAAGAGAAATCATTATTTCAATCATCAAATTAGATTTGGATTTAATGGACATTTGGATTTAACAGACACCTTTTCAAATGGAGAGTATCTTTTGAGTCCTACCCTCTAATTGCACTTAAATAGATCCATGCTCAGTTAAACATGTCTACAATGTTTATAGGATATTCAGACATGTGTCAGAGTTCATAACCTATTATCTCTGATAGAGATATTTATATATGTGTAACCATATAGATAATGTAGGTGATTTATATGCCAGAAAACAGACGTAAACCTAAAGTGTGTATATTTCAGTACTCAGTAAAGCCCTAATTTTATGGATCATTAGAAAAGGTTTCTTCTTAAATCCAAATGTCCATTAAATCCAAATTGATGTAATTAGCATGATTTTTTCCTTTCGATAATTTGGTGATTAACATAATGAAGTCCATTGAGTCTTATTTACTTCATTTGCAATGATACAAAATTATGCAAGCGATGCAATTATGTTGATTCTACAGTTACACAAATGGACAAATGACCGTATCTTTGGGTGATTTTCCAGACTGTTTCAGAAAAAATAGACAGGAACATACATTAATTCTGAAGATTTTAAAGATTAAAGTACAATTGAAACCAGATGTTTTCTTTTAGGAGTAAGGGAACTTTCTTTTTTATATATGACAAATGCAGGTGAAATAATTACATGCTCAAAAGTGGAAAGTGCAATAAAATAAATAAAAATAGAAAGAAGAAAAAACTTCTGATTTTGCAGCAAATGTAAGTGCAATTACAAAGTTACCTCTTATTTTATGATGACAAAAAATGCCGCCTCCTTTTTTTTCTATTATTAATTTTTTTTTCTAATAATCAAAACTGAAAGGCGTAAGTGCATTATTTTCTGTTTCATGCAAAAAGGCTGGAAGGGCTTTGCAGTCGGCCATGAATAATTGTCTTGTCTCTAATTGAGGAAACCAATTTAGCCCTCTTTGCAAGTGCCAGCATCTTCACCAACTGTTCCTCTATTGTGGGTAGCATCAAACTTTTTTCACTTTTCAGCATATAGTCATCTTGCTGCAGCTGTTATGTATTTTAAAAAATAATGTTCCATGGCTTTTTTTCTCTAGCTGTCTGCCCAAAAGAAAAGCCTCTAGTTTCAATTGTACATTTGTCTGTAAAATCTTCTGAATGAATGTATTTACTTATTGTATGTCCAAACATTTTTTGGCTTTTTTACACGTCCACCATAGATGGTAACATGTCCCTTCATGGTAATCCCACGTTCCTAATGAGAAAATCCAAGCCAGTGGTTTTCTCTGACTCATCTCATATACTGTACCTTCGCCTGTCTGAGCATCTTGGCGTGAAAACCGCAGCAAATATTTTTATCTGAGAAGCCACCGCCTCTCGCCCTCTGGGAGGAACTGAATTGGGGCTTATTTGTTCAACTTAAAAAAAAAGAGAGGACACTAAGAGTACCATCGGCAGTATTTATCAGCTTTTAGCTACTTCAGGTAGTCCTCGACTTACAATTGCAAGTCGCTAAGTGAGACAGTTTGCCCCATTTTAGTCAGTAGTAACACAGTCTTATATACATATGTACCACTTTATAGTGTTTTACAGCCCTCTCTAAGCAGTTTACAGAGTCAGCGTATTGACCCCCAACAATCTGGGTCCTCGTTTTACCGACCTCGGAAGGATGGAAGGCTGAGTCAACCTTGAGCCAGTCAGGATCAAACTTCCTGGCTGTGGGCAGAGTTAGCCTGCAATACTGCATTATAACCACTATGCCATCAGCTATTCCTTCCTTCCTTCCTTCCTTCCTTCCTTCCTTCCTTCCTTCCTTC